TTTTATCATATTTTTCAACTCTCAGCGGCTGAAGAAAGTCAAGCAGCTCACCAGAATATGAAATGGGTGCAGAGTTTAGGTTGGCAAATGGACCTTTCACCTGAAGATTTAGGAGAGGCCTTAGATAAATGGCGTGGGTGTTGGAAGCTGCGTATGTTACGAATTCTGTCCCCACAGCACCAACCTGATGCCTATATCGATGATTTCCGCCTTCTCAGGATGCCTTATGGAGAATCATTGGTAAAATATCAATTTCAGTCTTTAATGAAAATTATAATAAGTAGCATTTAAACAAATAAATTTGCCTCTAACTAGAATATGTCTACGGCTTACAGATTAGCTCCGACTTTGACATGCTGTTCAAAAATACCGGCGACCGTTTTATCACTGAATGGCCGCAGTTTTCCTCAATGGTCATCTCTATGCTGTCTGAAGATTACCGAAAGCAAATTCCTCTCCTCGACCTAGTGAGGAGGACCGTGACAACATGTATGTACACCATGTGTTTACTCTGTCATGAACTCTGCACCTGCAGCCCGCCAAACTAAAAGTGTGGATCTTGCGCCCTTCCAGCCGAAGGGATTCAGGTTGGCGCCTTGTTGCTGCTCACCAGCATGCTGCCCGTCACTACCTGCAGGGGCTCCGGAGAGAATGGAGAGCTCTGGAGACCGACGAGACAGGAGGCGCAGGATGGATTCCTCCTGCATGTCGAGGTATCCTCAATCACCCTCTGGTTCACCGGTGTCCTCTTCGCAGAGAACCTAACTCACACTGTCCTTGCAGCGCGAGGAGGAGGTGGCCCAAGCCCTGGAGCGGCACTGGGGCCGCATGCAGCTCATGGGCCAGCCTCTGGGCCCGCTGCCCGTGGTGGTGGGCCAGTCCCTGGACCAGCTGCAGAAGGCCTTCGTGGCCATTGACGCCACCACGGCCTACTACGTGGCCAACGGCATCAGAGCCGTGGACCTCTGCTTCAAGTGCTTCCACGCGCTGCAGGTGGGTGTCGGGCGCCCTGGAGGTGGGCAGCCCAACCGACGGCGCCGAGCGCCGCCCGGCTGGTAGGCCAACCATCCTGCTCGCCTGACTGGCGTGCTCCGCTTAGCTCCGCTCCGCCCCGTGTTGCAGGTGCCGTACCCCCCGCAGGCGGCCAACGCGTGGCTGTTCGTCCAGCACGCCCTGTACCAGGTGGCCACGCCCGCCGACCGCATGTCCGTGTCCGTCAGCTCGCTCCTCGCCGACTTCGGCTACAGACCCGTGCCCCCGGTCGTGTCGTGGGACCAAGTGCTCGGCCCGCCGTCCTACAGCGCGCCCAAACTAGGGAGCCTGGCTGAGCTCGGCGGTGCCGCGGCGGTAGCGCGACTACCTCCGACCGAGGGCGGGACCCGGGCGGGTCAATGAGTATGCCAGGCTCGCTCCTAGGTAGGTCACACTGTAAAGAACCTCGACTGAGGTGACAATAGGTGTATCGGCCGTCGTCTTGCTGGTTCCGATTCACTGTTGACACTTACTCTTTCTGTGATAATTTTAAGTTAAAATTACAACAATAATTATAATAGCGGATGTAGTAGATAGAGCGTACAAATAAAGAAAATGTACTGGCCAAGTCATTACAGTTTTTTGTTTTATAAAAGAAAATTCGATCTTTTTGCGGATGGGAGCGCCGCTCCTTGGCATCGCGATGCATCAAGTGCAAAATATGCATCCCATTATTCCTCGAGGCCAGAGCAGCACTGCGGGGCGGGGCGTGGCGGGGCGCGGCGGGCAGCAGGCTGGCCGGGGCCCAGAGGGGCCCACTCCACTACTGAGTGCTGAGCCGAGCCCTCCGGCCCCGGAGCGGAGGGCCCAGAGCCTCTGCAGCCCCCGACGCTGCGCACCTGTTGCCGCACATGCCTACCCCCGAGTCAGCGCAGCAGTCTTTGGTATGCGAAAGTTACGAAAGCACTTTAGAGGCGTATGGAAATAAATAGTGGGCCGCGTAACAAGCAGCGCCGCTGCCTACGGCTGCCTACCCGCGGTGGATGGGGCAGAACGAACCGTGCGCGCCGCGCAAGGCACTGCGGCACCTTCCCCTCCGCACCTCCAGCTTCAACATGAGAAAAACAAAACGAAGCGGGAAAACTCAACTTCCACCCAGCAATGGTATTGAACCTACCGAATTCTTTTTCTTGAGTTTTTTGTTCTATGTCTTGGGTGCTGCGCCCCCACAACCAGCTCACTCTTCCGTCACCCCTACTGGTATCGTGCGGGTGTCATTTAGCCTTTTTATTTTTTTTATTCGCGGCCCGCTCGGTGCTGCCCGGTGCGCCGCGGCCGCGCGATGCAGCTCGGCGATGGCGACGGCCGGGCTCAGCCCCAGCCGCACTGCCGCCGTGCTCTGGCCGTGACGAATGCGGTATTCCATCATCTCTTGTTTCTCCTGCCTTCGTGCTTCATCGTACTGATTCATCATCTTTTTTTCCTTCTTTTTTTTTCTTCGTCCCCACCTCCTCCTCTTCTTCCTCGCGCGTTTTGATCTTTTTGCCTTTATTGTATTACGATAATGAATGGCATCATTTGAGACCTATGGCCATCTAGTTCCGGTCGGGGGGAAGGGAAGGACCCTCTTGGGGCATAATTGGGGAGAGCCAGGTAATAGAACTACCACGTATTCGCCACTTACGTTTCAACATCCCATCCCCCCTCCCTTTCACAACCCTTTCTTCCGTGCTCCCTGGGCCCCCAGAACGGGGCATGCGCTGCGAGGGCGTTGCTTTCTTCATCGCGGACAAAAGAAGGCATCTCCGGTAGGAGGACGTGGAGGACAACCGTGTGGCCTAAACACTTCCACCAGCAGTGTGGGCCGCGGCAGGTACCGCAGGCGGGGAGGGGACGCCCCCGACCCGCGAGACCTCTGGTCTGGACCAGACAAACATGATTAATTAATTATACTTGCCTATTGCGCCCGACACGCGGCCCGCACCAGCACCAACTGGCCGGCCTAAAGCCTCGGGGGCCGTTGCCGGTGCCGTTGGGTCGACGGGCAGGTGCTCCACCGCCAGGCCGCTGCCGCTGCCGCTGCTGCAGCAGCAGCGTTTCCGATTTAATTTTAACGATTGGGATTGAAAGTTTTTGTTATTGCGCCCCGTTCCCCGCCATAATTAATCCCCCCGCCGCTCGACCGACCGGGACGCCCGTCAGTCAGGCAGGGTCGCGGCCGCTGCCGTCGCTTCACACGGTGGCAAGGTACGGCGCAATTATGATTATGGGATTAAATACAACGTTGTTGGGGCGTTATGCCAGCCGGGCATTGAAGGGGGTACGTACTTATATGACGAACTACCGTCCTCGAGGTGTCTGACTCGCCCACTCTTCTTCGATACTGAGACACTAAGCCACCGACTATTTCGATTCGTATTTGGAGCAATAAGGGCGAGGGTTTTGTTCCTCCACCTCATCCTACTCCCTGGCCCGGGCCGTGTTCTACCCGCTGCTAGATTACCACCACAATCGCCGTGGTTACTCCGCAGGTTTGACCGCGCGTCCCGAACTCCCTGAGTCACGCAGTCACCCCCCCCCCTTTTCTTCCTATTTCAGTCCAGTCTGAGGCGACTTGACGAGACGGCAGGCCCTGACGGGACGACCCCGCGTGCCCCGCGTTGCCTCGCCGCGCAGCCTCAGACAACGGACGTCAAATTATGAATGGGTGCAAGTCGGGGCGGGGGACCCAGCAGCAGCGACCATTAACAAGCGGGGGCCTCCTCACGGGGAGAGAAAAGGAGAGGGGACCTGCCGTCCAGGACTGTTCTGGGGAGGGCCCGGCCCGCCCGCGCCCCGCCCGCGCCCCTGCTCGCCCAGGGCTGCTCTAATGGACTCGCTGTGTGGCGGGGCTGCGCCAGGCCGCGCGGATGGCTGTGCGGCGCGCCCCGCCGTGCCCCGCCGCCGCCCGCCAGCCCGCCAGGCTGCTACCGGTGGGCAGCAGCGAGAGCATCTCGCTTTACATATAATAGAAGGCCGTATGGCCGCACGCAGCCGCTCCCGTGCAGATTTGTGCTCCTCTCTCCTCTCCTCCGCCCGCAGGCGGGCCGCAAGAGGCTGCAAGCAGCAGGCGACTGCAGGCAGCCCGAGCAGCCCCTTTGCGGGACATACAATGGTCCTTGTGACCCCGGGGCGGCTGCGGTGACAGGCGTGCGGTGTGCGCTCTCTGGCCGTGTGTGTGAACTCCCCCCGGGGCGCCCTGCAGCAGGGCCACGCCGATGGCGATGCTGTCCTCTCGGGTGTCCGCGCCGGTCGCGCCGGCCGCGCTCACGGCCTCGCCTTACCTCCGCCGGCGGGGCAGGTCGGCATAAGCAGGCGGGGGATAGAATTTCTGAACAATTCATTGCAGGAGGGGCAGCCCCGCCCCGCCGCGCCCCGCAGCCATAGGCCGTAGGCCGCTGCAGCTGCGCAGTGTTCATGGGCTGTAAAAAGGGGCAGCGGAAAATGGATTTATGATGAGAAGCTCCTGGCCGGGCCGCGGGCCGCGGCGGGGCCTGCAAGAGGAGAGGGCCGACCCCGACCCCGGTCCGGTCCGGTCCGAGACGGACGGCTTGCGGATCATATTAGACTTGCAGCTTGACTGAACCCAACCCGACCGCACTTTGCATGGCGTCGGCCTCGCGCGGCTCGGGCTCGGCAGGTGTGACGGCGGCAGCTGCAGCTGCGAGACGCCCCCCCCCCCCCCC